TTTTGTTTTCTATCAATTTCATGCTTGGCTACTTTTACAAAGAAAAAATTTAAAAAATGAAAAAAGTCAAACATGGCGGCATGCCTTCCTGCAGGAAATAACATCCAGTTAGGCAGCTCTTGTCTTGGAAACAGACAAGGAAAAACCGTCTGTGCTGCTGGAGCAAGAGACTCCACGCACAGCTGACAGCCCATTTGACAGGAATTCAAAAATTTGAAGAAAGTCTCACAGGAGAGGGGAGGCAGTCTTTGTAATTAGCGGACTCTTGTCGTGTTGTGAAATTCATGGAAACAGAATGAAGGTTCTACTGGAACCAAGGCTACTGGAGATCTCATTTGCATTCCTTCCCAAGCCTGAGCTGTAGCACTATAAATAGAAGAGTCTATACATAGAGGCGGGTTATTTCCACCAATAGCAATTTTATTTTTTTAGCAATATCTAGAGACATTATTCATAAGGATTCATTTCTGCACACTTTCCTGCTGAGAAGCTCCCTCTCTTGACACTGTGGGTGGCCAACTTTGAAATCCGCTAATGATCCGTTAGATACAAAGAGTGCAAGAAGAGTTATTTATTTTTTTAAGTTAATGCATGCAGGAACCCCTTTAGTTCTAGAAGATTTTTTGGTATCTAGCTGTGCTATATAAATAGTGGGCACCCTTTTCAAGCCAGCTTCTTTGATTTTTTTTTTTTAATCAACTAAACTTGTCTAAAGATAGCTTCTAATACCACAGAAACTAACAACAGTCACTTGATATTCCAACCACATTGTAACTTGTAACCAAATATCCTGTACCATTTACAATGTCCAAATATACAGATATTTGCATATGTTTAGATAGGTTTTTTGTTTTGTTTTGTTTTGTCTTGTTTTGGTTTTGTTTTTGTTTTTTGCTTTTGAGTTGCAGTCCCACTTTGTCACCCAGGCTGGAACACAGTGGCATGCTCACGGTCACTGCAGCCTCAACCCACTGGGCTCAGGTGATCCTTCTGCCTCAGTCTTCCAAGCAACTGGAATACAGGCATGCGCCACCACACCAGGCTAATTTTGGATTTTTATTGTAGAGATGAGGTCTCGCCAAGTTGCCCAGGCCGGTGTCAAACCCGTGGGCTCAGGCAATCCTCTCACCTTGGCCTCCCAAAGTGCTGGGATTATAGGCATGAGTCACCGCGCCCAACCTGGTAGGTGGTATTTTTTTAAACTAAGCTTTAAAATGACTAAGTACATTTTTTCCATCCTTCATGTCGTAGTTAAATGTAATGTACATGCAGTAGACTGAACATGGCACTAGTAAAATAAAAATCCTCTAATCTGTGTACTTTGATGGATAAATATCAAGAGTCATATGTTAATCAAGAGTCAAAATGTAGCCCAAAAAAGAGAAATAAAATTACAACATCATAGCATCCTGCTAAAGACACAGTAATAACCAACGTCCACCAAGATTTTACTCTGGAGAGATTGTTTATCTCAGAGGTGCGGGACTGGCTTAAGCTCAGAGTAGGCCATGGGAAAGGGTCCCTTAAAGACCCTCAGAATTTCAGAGGGCAAGGGGGGCATGAGACACTGAATTTATGAAAGGCACATATGAGATTCCCACGTAACATCCTCTGGTGCCGGTTCACAGACCAGCTTTTAGAAACTGCTGTCTTCTGAATTCACATACTGCAGAGCCAAGGCCTCAAAATCCTTCATACCTGTCTATATACCTTTGTCACATATACTGCATCTGACAGGAATTTGTTCACACACTTATAATGTCTCCTCCAAAGAGTACAGAAGCGAACCTTACTCTCCCGTGGCATGTGGCTCTGTTTATGACATGGGTGCACAGTAAATATTGGTTGAAAGCAATTGCAAAAAGTATGATGTTCTGGTGTACAGGTAAAAACTTCAATGTCGATTTTTTACCAGACCTACTTTTAATTCAAAAAAAAAAAAATGTCCTGACTTTTTTTGAGGAAGATTTGCAAAAGAGTTTTCTATATGATTTGCAAATCTTGAGAAGGATAAAATTGTTTAAACTTTAGGAGTAAAAAAAAAAAAAAATTCCATGAAAAACTGTATTCCATGTGAATATAGTCTCTTGTAGCTAATGATATTAAGCAGTACCAAATTAATTCATAGCAATGTTGCAACATTTAAAGTAAACTAAGCAAAGGAGGGTGACATTGTTTCAATCACTGTTTGCAAAAGTCAACTCTCTTACACAAGGTCCATCAGTCTTAGAACACTCCCTTTCCTGGTCAACCCTGCCTTTCCCTGCAAGATGTGGAGAGATATCAACATGGGTAAAGTGACAGAGAAGACAGCAGACTTGGTAGCTTTTGAAAAAGTTGTGGCTTAAAAATGGGGATCTTGGGCAATATCTGGAGAGGAGAAATTTTTAAAGCCAAGTGTAACACAGTCAGTAGCAAAGACAGGCGGTTTTAAAAACTATTGGCGAAATACCTATTGGCACTCCAAGGAGCCTTCTTGGACTTCAAGGTACAATTTGAATCGAAGTGTAGAGAGGTGCCAATCATCTGGCAAAATCTCAGTTGGTTAGCGCTAATAATGTGCTAATGGCACATCAAGACAGGCCACAGATTTCTGTCCACCTGCCCTTGGTTAGCCAGATAAGGTGACTTTCTCCTTTCTTAGAAAGTTTCCTGTAGAATTTCTGTTTCTTGCTCTCCTCTAGCTGCCTGCTGACATACAGATGCACACAGTTAGTCATCTCCACATGAATCTATACAACCAACTTCTCACAACACCTGATGAAAGCAAAAAGAGGAAATGAAGCTTCATGTATCAATAGAACTTGATTAAAAATAGTGCTTTCCTTGGTCTTTTAAAAGAAAAGCATCTTCCTGCATTTCAAATCTGTTTCAGTTCACATGATTAAAGCACTTACATCAACCAGTGGTTAGATTGGTTTGACTTTCACATGTGTGGCATTCTCCTTGTTCTGAAAAAGACTGACTTGGTCCTTCCAGAATGCAGCTTTCAAGACTTTATCCAAGATTGCAGATGCTTAATACTGACCTTTCAACTCCAAGTTAGGTGAGTGGAAGCAGAGTTACGTTTGATTTATCTATGACTCCAAACAACATCAAGATTCTAATTAACGTTTTGGGTCATAACATATGTCTCTGCATCTGTCAGGTGGTCTACTGGTGCTTTTTCCACTATTCTCAGGCAACAAGGAATAGCATTGGCTTAGCAGTCCTCAAAATGTTGTTTTACTGCCAGAAACAGAGAAGTTTATCTGGAGTATTTTATAGCCATCTTAAGGACATTGATCTATAATTTTTCCCAGCTCTGAAAACTTATGAGATTCTATATCTGTCTATAATGTGTAAGATGTTATACAAGTCACATTGAAGGTTATAAAAGGAGTAAGTTTCTGATCATTTACAGCAAAAAGCCTAATGTGTTGACCAGATTTGAGGATCGACTGATCGCTTCCAGTATAAGCCTTATATGTTGGCAAAATCTGAAGATCTCAAAGTCCTACACCCCACCAAAGCCAGCATTACCTGCTACCTCATACATAAAATGTCTCTCCAAAGAGCTTCATCTTTCCTGCAAGCAAATTTATGTTGGAGAAAGGGGATTCAAAGATATAAGGAATGCATCGAGAAACCACACAGATGAGAATGGCAAGGGGAAATTTTCATGGCACGGGCAAGATCTACAACTAGATTGGAAGGCTGAGTCATAAAAACAAAATATGCTGGTTTCCTAATTATTGGGGCTGGTCCTGACACCTACCCTTAAGAGCTAACAGTCATGTTGAGAAGAAAGATAGAAATAGGATTTTTTTTTTAAACTTAAAGATTCCTACATGGCAATGTGTGTAAACTAAAGTAAAAAGAAAATAGAAGAAAAGCAAAGCATATCAATATTCAATGGAATTCGTTAAATTGCAAGTGACGAAATCCCAAATCAAACTGGTTTTTAAAAATGTGAAGAATAGAAATATATTGGCTCACATAACAACTAACAAGTCATGGTGAGACCTGGTTGCCCAAATAATATCATCAATAATCTATCCCAGTCACTTACATTTGCATTGCTAGGTATTTGTTATTTAATCTCAGCCAGGCTCTTCCCTAGGGATGGGCAGATGCCACTGGCAACTACCAACTGAGCAACCCAGCAGAACAAAGAGTGCTCTCCTAAGAGTTGCAGCATGCATACTCATACTGCAATTCCACTAGTGCCAAAGGAGTTGATCACTATGATTGACACCAAGAGTGGAGTCTGTCCCTCCCAGGCCACGTGATGGAGAGGGAGGGGTGGAGTCGTGGGTCCTGTAAAAACAAGTAAAGGCTACTGTTACTTTAAAAGGGGAAATCTTTGCAGAAATAACAAATTCCAAGTCACTGCTCCTTCCCTGAGTGCTTCCCTAGCAAGTGAACGAGGATTTTTCCTGAGCTCTGTTTTCATGGGCACTTGCAACCTGGGGCCACCAAGCTATATTTTAAGCTGGAAAGTTGTGTAGTCATTACAGCTCCCTGCTGTGCCTTATTTTCAGAATTACCACAAATACAGCTCTTGGAGGACTTTGTCCTCTGTGTGTGGATCTTATCACCAGCTTAAAATCCTCCTCTGAGCTCTGAACCTAAGATTTTTTTTCTAATAGACATTCGATGCACTTTATTGAGGCAGTGTTGCACATATTTAATGAAGCCCTGAAAAGGCTCTCAGTGTGAAAAAAAAGATGAGATAAATCAAAAATAAAAATAGATGGCTTAAAATAGAACCCATGACTTCAGACAATCTATAAAGCTGTTAATCTGCTTTCAATGTAAAGCACACAGCAAAAACGACTAAAAAGGTGAAACACAGGGAGCGAACAGGGGAGGGGGAGGGGGCCAGAAAACTCCACATACTAGATGTGTAAAAATTATAATTTTTATTTATTATTTACATACATGTATATGTATGCATACATGTGTAGAAAATATCAGTTGTTGTCCGATGGGTTTTTAATTTTTTTTTCCCTTCTCAGCGATAGCGAAGACTGGTTTTGCGAGTGTCCAAGGCTGTACTCGGGCAAGCTGTGCCAATTTGCAACTTGTGAAAACAATCCATGTGGAAATGGTGCCACCTGCGTTCCAAAGTTGGGAACGGATATTGTCTGCCTGTGCCCGTATGGGAGGTCTGGCCCCTTCTGCACTGACGGTAAGAGCATTTGCTTATCAGACATGGAGCCTAGGCAGGCAAAGGTGAAGGGGACAGAAATCTCTCCGAGGGCCCAAGGACATCACTTGACTGATCAAATCCGTCAGATCTTTTCCTTGGTTCTTTTCAAGTCAGTTGAGACAAGAGCCATTAGTGAGACTGATCGCTAAGCAGGTATTTCTCATAACCATCAAGTAATTACACAAGAGGTAATGAGTTTTCCCTGAGGTTAGACTGCAGACAATCTCTGTGTTATAAAAATCTCAAAGTCAATCTAATTATAAGAGAGTAACAAGGAGAACCAAGAGCAATACATACAATCAAATTATTTTGTGTGTTTTGGCAAACTGAAAATATAACATTAACAAATCTATGTATCATAACCCAGTTGTTTACATTTCAAGTTAACAAAACATATGACCCCGCTATCACACACCAAAAAAACCGCATCACAGATAATAACCAAGTGTCTCTCTTTAGGAAAATTCAGCATGTGGAAATCCTAAATTGCAAAAAGCTGCAAGATGCTGTAATATAAGGTTGCTTTAAGAAGTAAATTGCCTAAAATTTAGTTAGCTTTAATAATCAGAAAAAAAGATTTGTAAATATTTTCAGAAATAATAAAATAACTGGTATTCACATTTAATCAACACAGGACTGGTCTTGTTCTATGTTGTTTTCACCATAAAAGTAAAAAGGAGGGACCAAGTGCAGTGGGTCATGACTGTAATCCCAGTATTTGGGAGGCCGAGGTGTGAGGACTGCTTGAGCCCAAGATTTTGAGACCAACCTGGGAACCTTGTCTCTACAGAAAAAATCAAAAACATTAGCTGGATGTGGTGGCACATGTCTGTAGTCCCAGCTACTAGGGAGGCTGAAGTAGAAGGACTATCTGAGCCCAGGAGTTTAAATCTGTGGTGATCCATGATTGTGCCACTGTAGTCCAGCCTGAGCGAGAGTGAGACCATGACTCCAAAAAAAAATTTTTTTTAATAAATAACAAAATGAACTCCTTTGGCACTAGTGGAGTTTGTACCAAATTTTAGAATAAGGCGAGCAAGGTGAACACAAGGCCCTATGCTCCCAGCACACAAATGAAACAAATAGATCAGCCTGTGATGACTCATTAGAAGCTGGGCACCACAGCCTCGTGTGAAAGGTATGAAAGCTGAAACTGGAGTAAATGAAAAAATCTGTGGCTAAAAGTTATTGACATTTGTTATACCTACTAGGGGACCCCAAAAAACTTTTTTTTTTGGAAGGCAGGCCCCTTATAGTACAGGCTTCCCGTGCTGTATAAGTGATTTGGAACCCGTCAGTATCAGCGTACTAGCTAGTATTGTTGAAAGAGGCTGCATTTGACTTCAGTGTATTTTATTTTGGAGATCCTTTCAACGCATTTGCCCATTTCACAATGGGTGACTTACACAAAAAACCTGCCCCCACCGCACCAAGTGTTTAGCAGATTGTGACCAAAACCAGCAAGACCCCCATGTCCCCCCCCGCCGCCCAATTCACCCAAGCTCGCCCCTGAGCAACTGTTTTTTGTTTCCCTGGATGGAAAAAGTCCTCAAAGAGAAACGCTTTGTCCACATGGAAGAGGTGAAACAAAAATCAGCAGACGCACTAAAAGGCATCAATTGACAAGTTCAAAAACTGTTTTGAGCAGTGGAAAAAAACATCTTGATAGGTGTATTGCATCAAATGGGGAGTACTTTAGGTGACTGAAGTTTGAACATGTAAGAATAAATGCACAATTTTTTATAAATAAATTCTGTGTTTTTTTGGTGCCCCCAAATATGTCTTAAAGAAACTGAGACAATGGATTTGTGTGTAGCTGGAAGAGGGTAAGTTAGAAGAAGAGTTAAGTAGTACTAAGAATTTCATATGAATATATATATATACGCACACACACATATATGTATATTGGAAGATATATGTATGTGTGTGTGTGTGTGTGTGTGTATATATATACACACACATATATCTTCTTATATAATCCATATTAGAAGAAGTTAGCCCAGTCATTTTAATAAAAAGATAAAGCATTATAGACTGCATGGAACTGGTCATGTCCTTTCCTATAAAAACCTCATGCTGCTCAGACATTATCATTCTATCTAGATAAAAGCTATAGAAAAATGCAATTGGTTGCAATAAATTTGATTACTAAGGGATGAATCATCAGTTTGGCTCCCCACATGAAAATAGGACTGACTATATAAAATAAGAAATGAAGATTTATAAGAACGTCTTTAGGTATTCACCAAATAAATGAGTTTACTCCCATCTCTTGGTCTCATTGGGGTTCCAGAGATGCAAAGATTTATGGATTGCTGAGGCAGGTAAATTAGACCAAGTTTTTTAGGCTTTTTGCCTCAGTATAAGAAACATTTCCTGCACGCACCCATCCAGAAGAATCTCTCAAAATAATTATCTTATCCATTAATATATACCACAAAGATGCCAGTTCCACTTTAGAAAAGTAAAGCTTGTGAGAAAGATGAGACCTCTTATACAGCTTACCTTCTAATTGAGAAGATAAGAAGAAAAAGAAAAATGGCTCAAAACACAATACAAAATTTCTGAGAAGATTTATGAAGAAAATACACAAGAAGCAGTAGACAGTAACTAGAATGGAGGGCATTATTTTAACAGGTCATCAAGACAACAACAATGCTCAGAAAAGAAGGTATTTGGGCTGAGGCCTAAAGAATAAAGACTATTCCACGTGAAAAGAAGGAAGAAGAACTACCCAGGCAGAAGGTTCATTCAGGAAATGGGAGACCCGGAGAAAAGACAGAATCTGGGCTCTTTGAAGAATTAAAGGGTGCTACTATAGTTGGTGCATGAATGTTTTAGTTGATTGCAGTTGCTACAATGTAACACCTTAGACTTGGTGGCTTATAAACAACAGAAATGTATTCCTCACAGTTCCAGAGGGTGGAAATGTAAGATCCAGGCGCCAGCATACTTGGTTCTGATGAGGGCCTTCTCCCTGGTTCATAGACGGCAATCTCACCGTATCCTCACTTGGTAGAAGTAACCAACTCTCTAGAGTCTCTTTCATAAGGATACTAATCTCATTGATGAAGGCTCTTCCCCCTTACCTAATTACCTCCCAAAGCCCCCACTTCCAAATACTATCAACTTGGCAATTAGATTTCAACATATGAAATTGGGGGGCACACACTCAGTTTATAGCAATAGTGACCAGGAAAAAACATCTTATCTGATGTGAGCAGGGCCTAAATAATACAGGGCCTTAGGGACATGGGAAAGTTTTAGACTTTTATTTCTAGATGCCTTAGAAAGCCACAGGAAGCTTTTAAACAAGCTAATGGTATATATGTATTGATGTAAGCCATTCTGACGGCAGTATCAAGAATAGATTTTTAAAGCTATTGTAGTGGTCCTGACAAGAGATAATTATGCCTAGGATGAGGATGATGGAGTGGAGATGTAATTAAGTAGATGAATTTGAAGTCTCTTCTGGAGAAATAATTTTCTTTTCTTTCTTTCTTTTTTTTTTTTCTGAGTTGGAGTTTCACTCTGTCACCCAGACTAGAGTGCAGCGGCCGCTCCCAGCCACAGCAGCCTCGACCTGCTGGGCTCCAGTGATCCTTCCACCTCAGCCTTCCAAGTAGCTGGAACTACAGGAGCACACCACTACACCTGGGTAATTTTTTGATTTATTGTAGAGATGAGGGATCGCCAAGTTGCCCAGGCGGGTCTCGAACCTGTGGGCTTAGGCAATCCACTCACCTCAGCCTCCCAATAATTTTCAAAACTTGCTGGGAAGAGGATAGAAAACTAGAAACAAGAACAACATCTAGTTTTCTTTCCTTGTTTGAACTATAGTATAGATGGTGGTAACATCAGGAGAAATAGAGGCATAGTAGGTTATTTTATAGAGAGTTGCTAGAAGGTGAACAAGAGTTTTATTTTCAGATGAAGGAAAAGATGCCTTTTAGACATCCAAATGGAGATAACACATAGACAATTGAGTGTACGATGCTGGTGGTTTGAGGAGAGATCAGGAATGAAGATATCATTTGGGGAGTCCTCAAAATAAAGGTGGTGGTTAAAATCATAAAACTGTAGACTGTCTAAGGAGAAAATATAGATAAAGAAAAGAAAGTGTAGGTTAAAAAGACGAAGAATAGATAAATCATAGAGAAATATTTTTGGTCCAACACAGTGACTGATGCCTATAATCCTAGCACTATGGGAGACCGAGGTGAGAGGATTGCTTGAGTCCAGGAGTTCAAGACCAACCTGTGCAACATAGTGAGACCTCATCTCTACAAAAAGTCAAAAATTAGCTAGGCATGGTGGCACAAGCCTGTAGACCCAGCTACTTGGAAGACTGAGGCAAAAGGGCCACCAGAGCCCAGGAGATTGAGGCTGTGGTGAGCCATGATTGTGCCACTGCATTCCAACCTGGGCAACAGAATGAGACCCTAAATTAGGAAAAAAAAAAAAAAACACTAGAGAAACCTTCCAGGATTCCAGCATTTGAAGATCTGGTAGAGGAGAGAAACCCATATCAAATGTCAATGTCATAAACACCCCATTATCTTTCTGCTCATAAATATTGTTCCTTTCATGATGTGGCATTTTCTTAGCCTGGGTTCCTCCACAAAAGCAGAACCTGTGTAAGAATTACATTTAGGTAGTTTCTTTCAGAAACTTTCCCAGAAAACAGGAGTGAAGATCTAGCGAGAATAAAATAGGGAAGTAGGGGAAGTTGGTGCAAAGGTACGTGTGGAGTTGAACGTCACCGTGGCTAACTGTGCTTGATTTCACTGGGACCAGTGAACAGCTGTATAAAAGGAGTCTCAGAATTGTCTACCCATGGGGGCAAAGCAGAGAAGCACTTGGCCACTGACTCATGGTTCTTTTTGATTGACATCAATGTTCTCACACTTCAAGATTGCCACGCAACACTGGTAAGAGTTCAGACTCTAGCAGTCATCTTAGGTGACAGCATTAGAGAA